AACTTGTGGACTTTCAGCCCTAGCCTCAGCTTCTAAAAACTTCTACATCTACTAAAACTAGTTGTCCTTTACTCTTTTTCTTCATCTTCGCCCAAGCGGCTATCCTCTCCTTCAGCTCGTCTGCCACGCCTGTGAGGGAGGTGCCTAAAGCGACTCTAACACAAGCAGTCTCTGGACAGCTATCTAGGCACCGGCCTGCAACCTCTGCCTTAGGCTCATGTGGTGTGGGAGTTTCTTGTCGCCTCGCGCTCGTTTCCCCACATGGCCTTATGGTAAGGGCAGTTGCGACCCCTACCGGCGGCTGCCTTTTGCTTGTTGGGCAGCCCATCGGGCCTCTCAATACTTTGGACAAAATCGAATGATGCGGCCAGGGTCACCGCAAAATACGCACTACCCCTGATCCACACGGTGCTGCCAGACGCGCTGGTCCAAGCCCAGATCCTCCCAAGGTCGGCCCTGTGGCAAACTTGGGTGCCAACTTCAAGATCAATGCTAAGAAGTGCGAATGGGCAAAGACCCAAGTTTTGTATCTAGGCCACGTCTTAGACGGAGACGGCATCAAGCCAGAAGATAGCAAGATCGCAGCGATTTGAGATTGGCCTACGCTCGGCATGTTAACAAAGTTGCGGTCGTTCTTAGGCCTAGCAAATTACTATAGGAAGTTTGTTAGAAACTTCTCCACCATTGCTGCGCCCCTTCGCAGATTGCTAAAGAAAGAAACAATCTGAAAGTGGGATAAGGACTGCATATCTGCCATGAAAAAGTTAAAGCAGGTGTTGATAGAGTATCCAGTCCTTAAGGCCGCCGACCCGTCCTTACCTTTCGTCGTCACTACTGATGCGAGCCAGTACGATATAGGTGTTGTGTTACAGCAAGACGATGGCAATGGGTATAGGCCCGTAGAGTTCATGTCTGCCAGAATGCCTTCAAAGAAGGTAGCGACATCCACCTACGAAAGGGAACTCTACGCTCTCAGGCAAGCACTAGAGCATTGGAAGCATTACTTGCTTGGGCGGCACTTCAAAGTGTATTCAGACCACGAAACTCTCAGGTGGTTGAAGACACAGGCCAAGATGACACCTAAGCTGACTAGGTGGGCCGCAGAGATAGACCAGTACGATTTTGAGCTCAAGCCAGTTAAGGGCAAGTATAATGTAGTTGCAGATGCTCTAAGTAGGAGATCAGACTACTTTGGAGCGATAGTCCATTATTTGGACATAGGAAAAGACCTGCAACAGAAAGTTAGAGAGTTATATGCGCAGGATCCTATCTACAGTGACCTTATTAGAAAGTAAAGGAGGCCCCAGAGACTGAACCAGATTAACGCACTACTAACGGATTACTATTCGAGAAGACTAATGTAGTTGACCGATTGTGCATTCCTAATAGTGAAGAGATCCGTAGCCTGATCCTAGGGGAATGTCACGATACCGAGGGACACTTTGGTTGGCAAAAGACCTTAGCCAATCTGATGCGCGCGTACACCTGGCCAGGGATGAAGAATGACTGCATAGAATATGTCCGCAGTTGTAAAGTGTGCCAGAGGAACAAGACCACCACGCGCGCCCCTCTAGGTCTTCTCAGACCCCTGCCTATTCCTGACCAGCCCGGAGATTTAGTGTCCATTGACTTTATGGACGCCGGAGTTAAGAGTAAGCATGGTAAGAGCCAAGTCATGGTCATAGTTGACCGATTTAGTAAGTATGCTATTTTCGTTCCTTTGCCTTCTGAGGCACGTACACAGTTAGTGATTCAAAAGTTTTTGATCATTGGGTCAGTGAGCACAGGGTTCCATTGTCCATAGTTAGTGATAGAGATACCGGGTTCACTAGTCAGAACTGGCAGGAATTGATGAGAGTCTATGGCTCCAAGTTGTTGATGTCGTATGGCCGCCACCCAGAGACTAACGGTCAGACTGAGCAGATGAATAAGATCCTGCAGCAAGTTCTGCGTATGTACATTAAACCTGACCAAATTAACTGGGATGAGATGCTTCCCAAGGTAGCCAGCAGCTACAACCATAGTGTGCACTTGTCCACTTGTCGCACTCCCAACGAGCTGCACAAGTCCTTTAGACCGCGCAGACAGTTTGAAGGACTTAACCGGGATCAGATTTACAGGCTACCGCCCGGTACTAGGGAGTTCGCGATACAGCACGAGAAAGAACTAGCTACTGTTGTAGAGAACCTCAGGAAGGCCCAGCATAGGATGATAGAGCAAGCCAACAAGCATCGTCGCCCGTCGCAGTTTCAAGTTGGCGACTTAGTCTGGGTCAAGTCAAAAGAGTTTGCTCCTGAGGAGAACATTTCGCAGAAGTTACTGCCTGCGTATAGAGGACCGTGGCCAGTCCTAGAGGTCAAGGGCGGCGAGGATGGACCGTCCTACACTATTGAGATTCCGGCGCACCTCCACACCTCCCCTGTATTCCATGCATCAAAGTTGTTGCCGTGTGTCACGAGTCAACAGTTTCCATCTAGGAGATGCATGATCCCCCCAGACATGGACGGAAGATATGACATTGACGGCATTGTAGGTGAAGATGTGTTCAGAACAGGAGGTTGAGGTTGTCCACAGAAACAATATAAGGTCCGATTCGCTTATCAGGACCCTGAGGATGACCGCTGGTTTACTAGAATGGAACTTCTAGAGACAGCTCCCTACATAGTTAGAGCCTACGAGAGAGATAAGAAAGCTAAAGGTCCTGCCTTAGACTGAGTTATTCTCGGAGGACCTCGAATTTAGGCCGGCGGGAGTGAAACGGTTTTCACCTTTGCAGAGGCAGATGCAGATCCCAGGATTCGATCCCCAGACCTTACCTTACCCATGTACAATACCGAGTTGACCCCTGAGTGTTTGAACCCGTGACCTGTGTATTCGCAAACAGTTGGTAGGCTGTAGGGGATTCGATCTGTAGACCTGTCGGATAGGAGTCTTAGGGAGTTCTAGAAGTCGTAACTGTAGACTTCCCGAAGGGTCAAGGTCGTAGCTGCTACAGTGCAGAAAGGTCAAGGTCGTAGCTGCTACAGTATCGAAAGGCCAAGTCTACAGCCTTCCGGAAGGTCTGAGTAGCGTTTGGGCTGAGGCAAGTGGGAAAGTGGCGAGGCAAGTGGCGTAGTCTACCCGTGCTGAGTCAGCAGTCCTAGTCCTAGGAAGTCCTGGTCCAGTCAAGCAAGTACCGCATGGGACTGTGTGCACTACGGGCATGGGAAAGGGCCAGACCAACGAGCTGCAGAAGTCTAAAGCAAGAGGCAGCGCCCCGTCATTCATTCATTCCTGCGGAAGCCATGCGGAAGTGCTGCCACAGTGACTTGTGCGAGGTGGTCTGCAGAGGAGCCTGAAGTCGAAGTGGGCTGAAGGGAGTTAGCGCAGCCATAGCTGCTGTAGTTAGTGTAGTTGGCGGCCATAGCTGCCGTAGTTAGTATAGGTGCGTATGCKTGAGTGTTATAGAGTGTGTGCGTGGGGTATCCAGGGTGATCCTAGTTGAGCGTGCGTGTACAGCGGAGTGAGGCGCAGTGACGGACAGAGTGTTGTACAGGCGCTGTTGCGCCATAGCCATTTGAATCGAGAGTGTATCTGAACTGTGTCCGTGGTTACCATATCTCTGAGCTTAGAGTGGGCTCTTGTCGCCAGTTTGCTGTATTGCCTGTTTACATGCATGCGAAGTGTGAATGTTTGCGAGTCTGATTGCAATGTCCAGAATGCATAATCACATTGAAGGCCAGATAGTATCACAGTGTCCAGAAAGCAGAAATGCACCAATATAACACCAATTAAGAATTGTAACACTGAAAACCAATGTCAATGAGAGCTTGCTCTCGCCACCACCGACATGAGTGTCCACGCCCTATGTCCACGCCCTATCTTCCTACTTGGCGCTCAGCGCTCAGCCTACTTCCTACACAGCTACAGTCTGCCTACTAATTGACAATGCAACTGTTGACATCAGCAGCCTACGAAGTACTTGAAGATGTCGCCCAATGCAGACCGTCACCAATACCAGGTATGTGCCCTCACATCATCATCATCATCCTTCTCTCTCTTCCCTGACTTACTCCCACGTCTTCCCTCTGTACACCCGAAGACCACCGCTGCGCCTCACTGAGTCCAAGCCCATCCAGCCATGGAGGCTGGGCTATGGCGCTGCCCTCAGCAGCGCCCTGCTTCCTGCACGACCGCACGCGCTAGCACCTTGCCTCTCCAGCAGCGCTGCCACCAGCATGCAAGTGCTGAATGAGGCTCCAGGCAGCGAGCTCTTTCCTATATGGAAAGAGCCTGCCTGCCTTCGCAGCCTGGCTGGCCTGGGCCTCGGCCCAGAAGCTTCCGGTAGGCCCCAGGATGCTGCGGCTCTGTTGCAGCTACTGGGCCTCATTCGGTTGGGCCTCCCAACTGTCTGTGTATGCGCCTGCGATTCTTGCCCAGGGCCTGCATTTTTGGAAAAGCTCGGAAGGCCGTGGAATGTCTTTGCTGTTCGGCCTGTGCTTCCCTTGAACCAACTGGCGCGTCGCAACTGTCTAGACCCCAAATACGATATTGGCAGCTGAGGGCCTCCCGTGATTTGTTAGGCCCGCCTTCACTTAGGGCGGGCACATTTGAAGAAGGGCCTCCTTAGGCCTGCCGAGGACCCAGATCCTCGCATTTTTCTCTGCAAGTCCGAATAATGATTACTGTGGTGGTGGCGAGGAGACCCACTGGGGTTCCTTTTTTTTTTTTTTTTTTTTTACCCAGTGTTTTTCTCTCTTGGGCAGCATTAATGATAACGATTGATTTAATGAAACTCGCAGCAATTGCTGGTGTAAAAAGGAATAAGAAAAAAACATTGGCGGAAAAACTAAAAAAAAAATGACGGAACCCCACCCACCCACGCACCCCAACCCCCCCCCAAAAAAAAGACATCTTGTTTTTGTGCTTGTGCGTGCAGCGTGCCAACTCTTTACTTGAACTGACAACCAATGGATGTGAACTAACTGATGATTGATGACATTGCACTGCAATGATTGCAGACATGGAGGTTGATCCCTGCAGGGGTGGTGTATACAATCCGCCCGAAGATGGACATTGCATACGGACTGTCGACGGAGAAGAATAATGCTCGTGGAAGTGTGGTCATCAACAAAATTCAGGAGTCCAGTGACCATTTCACAACGTGGTATATTGAGCCGCTTGGAGGAAATGAGGTGAAACTGATTAACAGTGCAAGTGGTTTTGCTGCTAAACGGCGTGGACCTCGCATGCAGGTACACACACACCTGGCCATAAGTGAAAAATGCTTCTTCTATCTTTGTTGTTGCTGTAAGACTATTTCATTGCGCAGTAGTCTCTTCTCTCTCTCTCTCTCTCTCTCTCTCTCTCTCTCTCTCTCTCTCTCTCTCTCTCT